TGGGCCGCTTTTGACATTGTGAATTCTCGAGTGGCGAATGTGTTAAAAATTCAAGTTTTGCTTAAGGAATGGGACGATTTGTACTTCTTTGGGCCCTCTTGGGACGCCTCTTGGGGGCCTGTTGCGGCGTCTGGGAGCCATCTTGGGCGTCTTGAAGCGAGCGCGCGGCATCTCGGAGCACTCTTGAGACATCTTGGGGGGCTCTTGGCGGCCTCGCGGCCCTTCTCGGGGCTCTCTGGAGGGCCTCGAGGGCGGCGCCCAGGAGAAAAGCCATCTCTGAGTCGGACTGCCCGGGACCTGCCCAGGACCTTTCCGGTGCACTTTTCGTCCGGGGGCCCCCAGGGGCCGCCCCGCGCGCGCGAACTATAAATATTGTTAACCAGTTACCGGAGATCTCAGCACGCCTCTGGCCCGTAGCCCAATAGCCCTGTGGCCCCATAGCCCTATAGCCGCACAGCCCCATAGCCCAATAGCCTTAGAGCCCCACAACCCTATAGCCCTATAGCCCCATAGCCTCATAGCCCTATAGCCCTATAGCCCCATGGCCCTATAGCCCTTGCAAAATTATGATTGGGTTTTTTCTCCGGTATCATTGCGACGCTGCGAGGATCGCCCTCTCTCGGCTTTCTTGCCCCCCGGCTCCTTTCGATCTTGGGCAGAAGCTCAGCGAGTGGGCCATCTATTTGGAGCTCGTGCATTGCGGCGGGGAGGGCATCCCCAGGGCCGATTGGGGGCGCCGCGTAGGGCGGCGCCGGCAGCCCCGCATCAGCCGGGCGCCGACAGTTCCCGAGAGTTCCGAAGGGCCCCCCTCTTGTTGACAGGCGCGTAAGATGCCGGGCTGCGCTCTCAGCCCAGCTGGTTCATCTTTCGCGCATGTGTGATCCTGGATGTAGGCCCAGTGAGGCGGCCGCCTCCCTGGCGAAGCATCAGTCCCAATTTTGGCCACCGCTGAGGTGGTTGGCCGAAATTTCGCCTCCCGAGGCTCTGGGCGCCAGGGGCGCGGGCGAATCGGCCGCCATGTGCCGGTGGAGTGTTCGGTTAAGCCAGTTGTGTTCATGTCGGTCGAGAATGTCCAGCGCCCCCAAGAGGCGCCCAGTCTCGCGCTGACAAATCTTCCCGAAAGTCGGCCGCTGAGGCGGGCGCCAGGTGGAAAGTTGGGCTCTCGGGGCCCCCCGCGGCGTCAGCGTTTGCGGCCCGCGGGATGCTGGAGCCCAGGTCTGGCCCCGAAGCTTCAGCGCCCGGTCCAGTGTTCAGAGGGCGCCCAGCCACCGCGGCCAGCGATCTCTTGGACGTCGAGTCGGAGGCTCGGAACGCGACCCAGAGCAAGCACTCGAGAGGTGAGGCTCTCGAGGCGCTTCCAGTCTGGAGGGTGGCCTCCCGAAGGGCTCCCGTGTCAGAAACCGCGTCAGTTTGTCAGCTCAGGAAGGACTTGCAGACAGTGCCAGATAAGCGAGGCAAGGGCGCCGACGGCACGCCGCCGCGCTGGGCCATGGGCGTGCCAGATGAGGATCTCGAGGCCCTTGTCTTGCTGTTGTCTACGATCGAGAGCGCGGCCGCGGTTCTTATCCAGGACGCTTTCAACATCGTGGCTTTGTTGGATAAAGACGGGGGGGCCATGGGCCCAGTGCTCTTTGATTTTTCTGCTACGTTTCGATATGCAGGATTTGGATGCCCGTCGCCGGGGCCTGGGGCCGCGCGGATCTGGGGACAAGACAGCGGGCCCTTCTGCTGCGCATGCCAGCTGGTTCGATGGACTCACCGAGTTGGCGGTCCTAGGGGGCTTCAGTGCGGCTGGAGGTTTGATGGGCATGGGGAAGTTGTGCGATCTGGTACGCCTGTCCGCTCTCGCCCAGGGTTCTCACGACCGCAACTGACCCCTCCGCCTTCTGGTCCCGGTCCTGGACGTCGATCTCGACCCCAGGATGTTAAGTACGCAGTGGCAGGCCCACTCTGGCCTTCTCCCGCGGGGGGGGGGGGGCGGGCCTGGCGGGTCTCGGCCAGGCGGCGCCACGGGACAGGCATTTTCTTTTCGGGCCGCTGGTAGCCACCGACCAGGCCGCCCCGGGACGCCGTCTCAGGAAATGGGTGGATGACGCCTCTTCCTGGTTGCCGGGTTCCGGGCACTCCATTAGCGTTTCTTTCCAGTGATTTTGACAGCGCTGCATCAGGGATTGCGCGGGGGAAAATGCGCGCCGGCGTTGCCCAGGTGGCATTCCATGGCCCCTTCGACCGGCCACGGGCGCAGGCTCGATGGCTGGGCCAGGGAGGCAGACGAGCAGGCTTTCCAGTTTAAGATCAAGTTGGCTGGTCACAATGCTACCCTGGGCGCGTCGAGGTCGGCCAAGGTTGGGGAGGTTAAGCTTTCGACGGGCTGCCGGGCGGCCTTCGAGATCTCAGAGCTCGTCAAGGCTTCTCATAGGGAATCTAAGCTGGTTATCTGGGCTTCCGAGGCCCCGGCGGCCTGGCCCCGATAACGGCTCAGCAGCTTTGGGGGGCGGGCCCCTTTCAAGCAGTAGGTGTCCGTAGAGAGGCACGCGTGCCACGACTGCCGACGGGATCAGCCTAGACGCGACCAGTGACCCTGCCATCACGCGCATCAGAAGGCCGGTGGGGACGCGGTTCTCTCGAGTCTTTAGATCCCCAAAGATGGCGGCTCGCATTGTTTATCATTGTCTCTTGAGCGAGTGAGAAAAAGGTTGGGATCTTGCGCGGGGGCGATGGCCGCTTCTCAGGCCTCGATCGCTAACGCGGGTTCGAGATGCCCATCGATTGACAAGCTCGTTGGGCCCAACGGCGACGAGCGGCCCCTCCGAGACGCCAGCGCAGGCCCGCCAGCCTGCCGTTTGGACGCTCAGGTGGCCACAGCTGAGCCCCAGTGGTGAGCCAGAGCTGCCAAGCACTCAAACGGTGCTGGCGCTGAGGCTGGAGTTTGGCTGCAGCAGGTTGTCTTTTGTCTCAGGCGTCCGAATCCGAGGAGAAATTCTCGGAGGCTGGCACGCCTAGGCTTGCTGCGCGCGGCGGCTACTGGACCGAAAGAAGGAGGTCTGAAGCCAAGCTGGCTACCGCACGGACCCCGCTGGTCATATATGCGTTGCGATTCCACTGTCGAGCAGTCGCAGGATTGGGAAGCGCCAGCGCAATTCGCGCGACGTTTAGCGGGCACAGCAAGTCGGGCGCCCGCCCCCCCCCCCCCCCGAAAGTGTTGCCATCAGCTACTTCATCGCGGAGGTGATCCAGGAGGTCGATATTGCTCCAACGTTTTGACGCCGTGGCCTCGCCCCCCCTCTTGACAGGCACGCTGGAGGCCATATTCCTAGCGGCGTCTCTCTGGAGTGGATGGGTCGGGTGGCGCGCGGGCAGAGCCCCCGGCGGGCGCCCCGGGTTTTTTGCGCGCCTCGCCGCAGGCCCGGATGGCCCGAGCTGGGACTCTGGATTCTCTTGGGTGGTTGGCCGCCCGAAGCTGTCAGCGCCGACGGCTGAATTCCTTGCGTTACTCTTCGGAATTGCTCACCTAGTGCGATCGCACCAATCACGTTCGCGCGTTCGTGCCCTGGCCAAAGGGAAGCACCGCCATCTCAATTTGGAGCCGTGGACTCGTGGCACGAGCTCTTCGGGCCGTTGCATCGCAGGACGGGTTCTTCTGAGGCGGGGCATCTACCTTCGCGCGCGGCCGAGGACGAGGCCCGCCTCCCCTGTCTGGCCACATCGGTTCACTTTCGGGCTGTTGCCATTTGCCTGGCCGAGGCCAGGGCGGCGTTTGGCCAGATCAATCCGGGCGCGTGCAGGAGAGCCCTCGGCCTCGTTGCCATAGCCGACTCGGTCCTTCGCAGGAATGCAAGTTTTTTCTCGTTGCCACTTGTATTCCCATAGCGCCCGATCGAGAGGTTGTCCGCGTGAGAGTTCTGCCTTCTGTCAGACGGGCTGCGAGTGGGGAGGCGGCAGCGGCGACGTCCTCCCACAGGCGCCGCGTTCCCGCCCGAGGCCGGATTTGCGACCTGCGCGGCAAGCTCGTCGCCAAGACTCATTCGAGTGTCTCGGCCCGCCCCAGTTCCCTTGCCAAGCTGCCCAGCCTGCGGAGGTCCAGAAGCCTGACGCCCCTGATGGGGGCGAAGGACATCCGCTTGGAGGGAGGAGGAAGGGCGGGGTCCGCTTTCCTGATTACGACCTCCGCGTCCATCTTGCCTTTTCAGGTTTTTGCATTATGGGGCGCACCCCCTCCCAGGCTTGAGCAGGGCCGACTTCTCCTCGGCAAGATGTTGCGCGCGTTTTTTCACGAGTGGTGGTCAATGGTGTTCACTGTTTCTGTGCTGTGTGTGGACGGTCCACTTCTTTACACATTCCCAGGTTTCTTTAGAGCAAGTGCGAAACAGGTTTCGTGATCGCTCCTTGGTCAAGGCCCAGTATACTTCGCTGGTGAGAATTCGCAGGGAGCCCCCGTCCGAGATGCTGAGTCTCCAGCTGGGGCTCCAATGTCGGTTCCCTGTTTGGTGGTTGGTTTTGTTTCGCTGGCCTTTCTTTCCAGGCTTGTAATTTCTGGTTTCCAGATGCTTGCGTTACTTGCTGCTTCTAGCGACAAACTCCTCCTCCTGTTCCTTCTCCTTCTACCCCTCCTCCTCTTTCCTTGTTCCTCTTTCCTTTTCCGCTTCCTGTTCCTCCTCCTCCTCCTCTTCCTCCTCCTCCTCCTCTTCGTCCCCCTTCTCTTCCTCGTCCTTTGCCTCCTCCGTATCCTCCTCCTCGCAGCCCCTCTGTCACCCTCTCTCTGTTTGTATGTGTCGTTTGTCTCTCTCGCTCTCTCTCTCTCTCTTTCTCTTTTGTTGTATCTCTCTCTCTCTTTACCTATCCCTCTCTCTCTCTCTCTTTCTATATGACTCTCTGACTCTCTCCCTATCTCTCTCTCTCTCTCTTTCTCTCTCTCTCTCTCTCTGTCTCTTTCTCTGTCCGTCTGGTCTCTCTGTTTCTCTCTCTCTCTCTCTCTTTCTCTCGGTGCCCTCCCTGCTCAGGACGTCGACGGGGGCACGACTTTCCGCCTGTTGCTGGCTTCGGGGGGCCGCCCGCAGTTCGAGGAGGTCTGTTCGGGGCTGTTGGAAGCGATGCACCTCTGAGGCTCCTGTGGAATGTCCTCGCCGTGCCGCTGGGAGGGCACGCTCCTGCAGGGGGCTTGGGGGTTAGCCAGGTTCAGAAGAAAACCTTCCTTTAATGGGATGAGAGCAGGACGCTGTGCTCCGAAGGGCAGCCCAGGGCCCAGGATCTCCGCCTTCGCCGTCGTGGCTCGATCTAGACGGCGTTTTCCGTGTGTTCGTGTTGTTTTTATTTTCCTTCGTTTTGTGTTCGTGCCGCTCCATTTGCAGATCGAAGTCAAGACGAAGTCGTTTCAGATTTGGATGTGTGGAGGGAGAGTTGCGTTTGGCGCTCCCGGCGGAGCGCTCCTCAGCCAAATGTTTGGTATGGGGTTCCCGAGAGCCACCCTCTTGTTCAAAGTTCACAGGAAGCCCTCCCACCAGATTTGGTAATTGTGGTTCCGATGTGACTTGGTCCCCACATTTCTTCCTCATTATCCAGCTCTTTCCCTTCCTCCTCCACGTCGTTTTCCTCCTCATTATATTCTCCATTGTTCCCCCTTGTTCCCCTCCTCCTCTTCTGGGAAGTAACTCATATACTCCGTGTGCGGACGGTTTGCAATCAGATTCTTTGTGTGGGAAATTTGCAATGCGATTAATTTTGGGAACGGCGTAGCCCTTTTGGCTCAAGCTCTACCGAGGTTCAAGACCTGGCTCTTCACACCTCGCACCTCATTGTAGTCACTGGGGATTGCCTGGACTATCGGGGTCAGATCGGCTGGGCGGTAGCCGTGGGACCTTCGGTGGAGCTCCCTATGGGGCCACGAAACGCTGCACTGGGTGGGGGGACGCATGCGGGCCGTAGCACTGCGGCCGTCGTTGGAGCTCCCTACGGGGGCAAGAAAAGCTGTACTGGGTGGGGGGACGCATGCGGGCGGTAGCACTGGGGCCGTCGGTGGAGCTCGCATTGGGGCCACGAAACGTTGTACTGGGTGGGAGGGACGCATGCGGGCGGTAGCAATGGGACCTTCGTTGGAGCTCCCTATGGGGCCACGAAACGTGTGAGGGGTGTGCTGAAACGGGTGATGACGACGATGCTGATGTTGATGCTGATGCTGATGCTGCTGCTGCTGCTGCTGATGATGATGATGATGATGATGCTGATAACGATGACGATGACGATGACGATGACGATGACGATGGCGATGGCGATGATGATGGTGATGGTGATGGTGATGGTGATGGTGATGGTGATGGTGATGATGATGATGATGATGATGATGATGATGATGATGATGATGATGATGGGAGGAGGAAGGAGGGGCAGCGGGAGGAGAAACGATGGGACCGTCTCTTCAAAACGAGGACCCAACACAGGATGGTTGGGACAAATGACAAATGCATCAGCCCCATGTTCTTGCAGCGGCCTGAGTTACCCTAAGATCGAAGTCTCCAGGGATCAACGTCGAACATAATCAGACAAGCTTCCATTTGTTTTAGAGCATTTAGTTCGCATGTGTATTCAGTTCCCTCTGTTCGGCTTCCTCTCTGTTTGTTATGCTCATTTACGGTTATGTATTATTACGATATGTCTCCCTCTATCCACCACTGCCTGGCAGGCGTATACTCGGTGCCCTTGTGTGCGTAATAAGTCGACCAGGCGTAATGTGTTGGCCTACAGGCCTAAGTCTGATTCTTTTACTTTTCTCGCGCCTCGCACGCGCAGTGTCACTGGAAGAACGTAACAGCCAAGATGTATGTTTGGCCAACGTCCAAAAAGGAGGAGAAGATGGAGGATATATCAACCTACCCGCCTGGCCCACCAGTTTCATCACCCACCCACCCAGAGCCGACCGGCCTGGGGGGTGATAGCGGAGCTCGGAGAATTCGCAGGCAGAGAAAGCTGAGGAGGACGAGGAGGACGAGGAGGACGAGGAGGACGAGGAAGAGGAGGAGGAGGAGGTGGAGGAGGAGGAGGAGGAGGGAAGGGGAGAAAGGAGGAGGAAATGGAAATGGAGGAGAACCCGCCCAGGATCCGGCCCCCGATCGCCGTCCGCCGGGCCTTGGCCGCCCGGAGCGGGGCCCGCTTGGGTGCCTTGTCAGCGAGCGCGCGCTCTGGAGCGGGTCCGATCGGACTGGTCGGGGTCGCTGACGGTCCGATCGCAAGACCACGGCGTGGCTATTTAGCCAAGCGGGCAGTGGGCGTCCTCCTCCTTCTCCTCCTCCTCTTCCTCCTCCTCCTCCTCCTCATCATCATCATGCTTCTCCTCCTCCACTTCTGCCCGATTCCGTGGTTGCACGACTCCATTATATCAGAGTGAGGGGGCCGAGCGGTCATTCACTGTCCCTGGGTGCGTGGCTGAAGTGGAATTCCGCGGTGCGGATTCTCGTTGAATATTATTACTTCTAAAGAAATATTATTGTTGAGACCCCTGGTGCGCGACCCCCCTCCAAAACCTAGGCCGCAGCCTCATTTTCTTCATTTTCTAGCGAAAGCTTCAGAAAAGTGGATTGTCACCGGATCCGGTTGTTTTGTTGTAATCCGTTTTCCCTTGCAAAAAACACTATAAAATGAAAATTCTTGTTCTTACTTGATCAAATTGCAAGAATCCCTTGCAAAAAATAAGGTAAAGTGGACATTCGTGCGCGCAAGACGAAATCCTTCCAAAACCTTAGGTTTCGTAGCGATTTTAACATAAAAACATCAAAAACCCAATGGTTTTTTAAGAAAAAATTGTCAAAATGTCCTTCCGCGCGCTCTTGCGGATTCGTAGGAAAACCAACACTTTTTAAACAATTCTGTCAAACGGGCTTTTGCGAGCAACTTTTTCGAACTTCTGCGACAACGGTTGCGCACCTGCCAGGGCCATCATCCCTGTCAAATAATACCATGCGGGACACATTCGTTTTTTCTTCGCGCGCGCACGCCGAAATCTCCAAAAACCATTGGGTTTTTAAGAATTTTAGCACCGCGCATCATAAAATCACACGAATCGCACCGTAGGTCCTCGAAAAACACCTGCACGACTTTTCAAAATTTCCACCCGCGCGCGCTGTCCGAATCCTAAAAAAACCAATGGTTTTCCAACATTTATGTTACATGAGCTCGCGCGAGCTACTTTTTCTTGTTCTAACATAATCAAATTTCAATAATCCCTTGCAAAAAATAAGGTAAAGTGGACATTCGCGCGCGCAAGACGAAATCCTTCCAGAACCTTAGGTTTCGTAACGATTTCAACATAAAAACATCAAAAACCCAATGGTTTTTCAAAAAAAAATGTCCAAATTTCATCCCGCGCGCGCTGTCCGACTCCCACAAAACCAATGGTTTTTCAACATTTATGTTACATGAGCTCGCGCGAGCTACTTTTTCTTGTTCTAACATAATCAAATTTCAATACTCCCTTGCAAAAAAAAGTAAAGTGGACATTCGCGCGCGCAAGACCAACAAAAAACACGACGATCTCAGGAACTTGCCCCAAAAATGTGACCAACTCCGCTCTCTCTGTCTCTCTCTCTGTCTGCTCTCTGTCTCTCTCTCTGTCTGTCTGTGTCATGTATTGTATGTCACAATTGCAGGATGCTGGGCACACGCGCGCCCCGAATAAGTGACCAAGTTCTGTGGGTGTGTACCCCACGCCAGTGTAGTAGCCACGGTCGTCCGCACGCCACGAAGTGAAGTGTCCCAACGTCATAGGGCGGGAAGCTGGGTTTGGGTGGTCGCGAAGAGTCGTTTGGATATTTGGTAGAGCTTGAACTGCCCCCCCACGAAGTGGGGGTATTGTCTCGCGTCGCATGAAAACCCTGGCACTGGTGAGAACACTGAGCGTTCGGGTAAAATGATGTTGTTGTTGTTGTTGTTGTTGTTGTTGGTGGTGTTGGTGGTGGTGGTGGTGGTGGTGGTGGTGGTGGTGGTGGTGGTGGTGTGGTGGTGGTGGTGGTGGTGTTGTTGTTGTTGTTGTTGTGTGTTGTTGTTGTTGGTGGGTGGTGTGGTGTTGGTGTTGGTGTTGTTGTTGTTGTTGTTGTTGGTGGTGTTGTTGTTGTTGTTGATGGTGGTGGTGGTGGTTGTTGTTGTCGTCCCACCCGCCACCCGCCCCGCGACCCACCCGCGACCCAACCCGCGACCCACCCCGCGACCCACCCGCGACCCACCCGCGACCCACCCGCGACCCACCCCGCGACCCACCCCGCGACCCAACCCGCGACCCACCCCGCGACCTACCCCGCGACCCGCCCGCGGCCCACCCCACGACCCACCCGCGACCCACCCGCGACCCACCCGCGACCCACCCGCGACCTACTCCGCGACCCACCCGCGATCCACCTTCGACCCAAACCACGTTCACGGTACAAACCACCATTTTCGGCGCCTGCGGCGGGCTTTTTTGCATTCCTTCCAGGTGGAGAGCCCGCGACCCACCCCGTGACCAACTCGCGACCAACCCGCGACCCAAACCACGTTCAGGGTACAAACCACATTTTTCGGCGCCTGCGGCGGGTATCTTTTGCATCCGTTTCAAGTGGAGAGCCCGCGGCCCACCCGCGACCACGTTCAGGGTACAAACCACATTTTTCGGCGCCTGCGGCGGGTATCTTTTGCATTCGTTCCCAGTGGAGAACCCGCGGCCCACCCGCGACCCAAACCTCGTTCAGTGTACAAACCAATTTTTTGGGCGCCTGCGGCGGGCATCTTTTGCATTCCTTCCAGGTGGAGGTGGAGAGCCTGCGACCCACCCGCGACCTAAACCACGCTCACTGAACAAACCAATGCCGCACAAGCGCGGCGGCGGATTTTTGCATGCCGTCTGAGCCCGCAAGGACCTCTTCAAACCCCGCGCATCCACACCAGCCCGTCCAGCAATTTTGCCCTGGCGAGTTGCCTTGATCAGAGAAGGCGGGGAGCATAAAGTGGAAAAAAGGATTGCGTTGCAGTTATCTTGGGAAAGGAGGGGGAGGCAGGAGGAGTAAACAGGGGACGAGGAGAACGCGGAAGAAGAGAGGATGTAAGGAGAATGTGGAGGAAGGAGGAGGAGGAGGAGGAGGAG